GGCGCTCAGGTGCCTGTGACTGCGTGGGGCTTGGGGCCTCCCGGATCCTGGGGCGCTGGCTCCGGGGGGCCCCACATCCTCTCGCAGCTGTTCCCAGCCCGGAGCTAAGGATACGCCTCTGGGTCTTGAAAGGAGGACCCCAGGCTCGCGGGCCGCGACCACACAGAAACCTGCTTGCGGCGCGCTTTGGAGAGACTTGTGCTGCCCGGGGGCTGCGGACAGGTGGGGAATTCTGCAGGAAAAGGCAGGCTCCGTTCTGACTGTTTTCAATGTGAAAATCCAGCAAGCCCGTTGTAATCCTTTTCCTTGCATCTGGGGAGGCGACGCTGGAATTTAAGCCCCGGCTTTGGGTCTATCTCTGAAGTTCTAGGTTCACCCCCCCCCTTCGCCCCCCGCCACCTCTACCCTCACGCCGGCCGTGAGGTTTTGACTGGGAGGAAGTGGGTCTGTGCTTTAACCGTGTGCGAGGGTTTTGAACTTGAGCCAGGGGCCCTGGAAACATGACCATCTGTGTTCTCTCGCCTGCAGCTGGGAGGAAAGATGTTCACTGTGCTGACCCGCCAACCTTGCGAGCACGCAGGTTAGTATCGCAGCGGGCAGCCTGCAGGATTTCCCCGCATCGCAGAGAACCCCGCGTCCGCTCAGGTTCCTCATCCCCGGCCCGGGCCGGCAAGTGGCTGTGCATCCTCTTGAGCTGGGTGCCGGAGTTGCTCACTGGCTCTCACCACAGGCGTTCCTCGCAGAAAAGCAATGCTTTTCATCCCAGCGACACAAAACAAGGGCTAACATGCATGTTTCGATTAAATGGTTTTTCCGGTTTGCATAATCCATTCATTTGGCCCTTGTGGTTTCCCTTACCCTACGGTGTGTAAGGTTTGCTGTAGAATAATGTGGATTTTGTGACGAACTTCAAAGTGCTGGGAGCTTTGCTCTAGTCTATTCCCATTCAAGCGTTGTTGCTGGCACAGCGCCTACAGCATCCTCCAGCCCCCGGCATGGTCAGCATTGTTCCTGCTGATGTTCCCGCAGGCACATGTGCGGAATTCTCTCTCTCTCTCTCTCTCCCTCCCTCTCTCTCTCTCTCACACACACACACACATGCACACACACTTCCAAGTTTGCCCCACCTGCCTGCCCTGGAGCACTCTTTGCCGTTGCTCATATGAAAGTCCGGGAGCCTCTGGCCTCTCCTCTCCCAGGTCGGCACTTGATAATTACAGTGTGTGTCCGGCCCTAATGATAAGCACAGCCGTAGGCCCTGTTCCCTAAATGAATGAGACCTGGTCTAGTCCATTTTGCTTCGTGATAGACTTTTCTGCTGGGGCAAGTGTTTGCTTAAGGTAATCATAGCCTTTTACCCAAAATCTGCTGAAGCGCAGAGGACTGGGGAGGCTAGCGTGTGGCTGTGGTCAGGAGACTGCTTACCTACCACCCCGCCTCCCTCCGGTGGCCAGAGGTTGTGCCCCTACATTGGGGATTCTTGTCTTCCAAAAGGATACGATTGTAGGCTAGTGGGGGCAATTTATACCAATTTTTTTCTTTTTCTTTAAAGGGAAATTGTATCTAAGGAGCTGATTTACTTTGATCTCCAGGTTTTTCCCGAAACACTTGGAAATTTTAACACAGATCCGGTAACATCACACGTACAGATTAACTTGTTACATTCCTCCCAAAGGACAAGTTTAACCTGGCAGATTAAACCTCCACCATGTCTTGTTAGGGGGGAAATCCCTTCAACTGACACTGACAGGTGGTTTCTTTAAAAGTTGATACAAGAGTCTGTCTCTGTGGATAAACTGGTTCCTGGCGGTCTCCAGCATCAGAAAAGTGATCTAGGACCTGCAGGTCATCCATGGTGGTTGGCCCCCTTCAGTTGCTACTACAAAGGAGTCAGCATAGAGTAACTGCATGTCATTTTACACACATGGGACTCCTTCTGTGGAATAAATTCCCAGAGGTGGGATTGCAAGTCAGATGGTATGCCTGTTTGCAATTATTGTCAGTAAATACTGACACATTGCCTTCCACTGACGCTGTGTCAGTTTTCACTCCCAGTGACAAGGTAGAAGAATGAGGCTGTTAAGTAACCACTTTTGACATTAGGAAATGTCTGCGGCAGTGTCTACACAGCAGGGGGATCAGATGGGGCAGCAATAAACTTTCATGAACCCACACTAGTTTGTTAAGACCTAATCTGCTTGTAATCATTCAGTTAAGCAATGTTAGTTTAAATTTAATAGACATAGTTCATTATGATACATTATGTATTATTATACAACTAGAGGCCTGGTGCACAAAATTCGAGCACAGGGGGTCCCTCAGCCTGGCCTGCACCCTCTCACAATCTGGGTCCCTCTTGCTGCAATCCAGGACTGCTGGCTCCTAACCACTTGCCTGCCTGATTGTCTCTAACCACTCACCTGCCTGCCTGATTGCCCCTAACCATTCTGCCTGCCTGCCTGATTTGTCCCTAACTGCCTCTGCCTGCCTGCCTGATCACCCCTAACCACTCACCAGCCTGCCTGATTGCCCCTAACTGCCTCTGCCTGCCTGATTGCCCCTAACCATTCTGCCTGCCTGCCTGATTTGTCCCTAACTGCCTCTGCCTGCCTGCCTGATCACCCCTAACCACTCACCAGCCTGCCTGATTGCCCCTAACTGCCTCTGCCTGCCTGATTGCCCCTAACCACCTCTGCCTTGGCCCCTGCCACAGCAGCTTCATCCGGAAGGATGTCTGGAATGACGTCTGGAAGGTCGTTCGGCTGTCTGGTCTAATTAGCATATTACTCATTTATTATTATAAATATGTATATACATCATATATTATACCATACATACAATTATATAATGATCTTTACTTAGTGTCTATATATTTAATTTAAGAGTATTCATGTGCTTATTTATTCATTTTTTTGCTTTTAAATGGGTAGAGTTTACATGTTATGATTAAAATATAAATCTCAGCGATTACATGATCCCTTTTGGACGAGACATGTGGATTGGGGTATAGTTCGTCTTTGTTGGTGAAGATGTAGGGAGACCTAGTGCCTTCACTGTAGACACAGCAAGCATAACTGAGTGTGAGTTCTTATTGGGAACCTAAATGCTGTAGAATTTTAGACATGTTATCATTTGCTCCACAATAAGTCACCGTGTAGTGAATCATTAATTATATCTGAAGTACCATATTAATTTCTTCTTATTTATCTGAGATTAATTTTAAATGAAATATGACCTGCTTTAATGGAAAACCCATATTTTTCTAATCTGCACTGAAACAAATGTTATTGTAAACCTTCTCAGGGACAACCAGTAATATGCATAACATACTTTGAGAAATACCAGAAAACTAAACTATGCATACCGAAAACTAATATAATACTGTATACAACATATAGATATATGTATATATGTAATGTAAAATATATAAATATAATATATGTATAAATATATTAAAAACTAATACATATATAACTAATATGATACTACAGAAAACTAAATACCAGAAAACTAAAGCCATGCAAACACGGTTTAAGTCCACTCTTTGGAGGAAAGATAAGTGGGTATTAGAACCCAGCTGCTTCTCCACCTTAAGCGTGTGGGTCTCACTAAAGCCAGAAGTGACTGGTGCCCACGGCTACGCACCCAGTTCCTGGGTTCTGCAAAGAAGACGAGTGTCTTGTTCCTTCGTTTCCCCTCGTAAGTCTTCTGGGTCTTCCCGTTTCAGGCTTCAAGGCCCTCTCCCGCACGCCAGTCGTCGTCGCCTTGGTGGTCTTGATTTTGAGTGTGGTGGTACTTGTGGCCATCACACTCATCCAGATTCACCAGAAAGAGGTCCTCCTTCCCGGACTGAAGGTAAGCGTGCAGGGATCGGCACGGAAGGGGAGCAATGGGCTATGATATCACTTACTCTAAAGCCATGAGTTAGAAGAGAAGAAGAGCATTCTCCCCCCTCCGGCTGGAGCCTGGGAAGACAGTGTAAGACCCAAGGGAGAAGGTCCGGACATGCTGGGTTTGTGATGTTTGAGGCTCCAGTTTGATTGTGGTGACATCTTTCCCAAGGACCGTGTGGTTTTTGCTTTGACCCCTGACTATTGGAAGCGAAGCTAGACTTTGTGGCCAGTGATAAATGGCTACCAAAGATTTACCAACTTGTCCGTCTCCCCAGAGCACATATCTCTCCCTGATCATGAGTGGAGACCAGGAGACCCAGGCTCCTCCTCGGCCTGGCCTGGAGGAACAAAAATTCAAGGACTTGAAAAGATCTCCTGGAACTGTATTTGGGCCTAGAAATGTGCCCTGATCCCTCTAACTCTCCCCCCGGAAAAATTTCTCAGGCCCTTATGCTCTGTTCCAGAGACCTTTCTCAGCCCTTGATAAATAAGTCCATCCCAGATGGCCTCCTGGGTGACTTCTGGCAGGCTGAGAATCATGAATATCGTCCCAGCCTTGGCTGTAAGGATGACGGGAGGTGATCCCACAAGGGCCTGTCACATGAAAGGCAGGCAGAGACATTGAGCCTTTCTGCCACGTGGGTAGAGGCCAGCAAACTTTCTGTAAAGGGCTCAATAGTACATATTTTAGGGTTTGAGGGCCATTTATAATCTCTGTTACACATACCCTCTTTTGTTTTTGTCTTCTTAACTCTTTAAAAATGTCAAAACCACCTGGCCGGTGTGGCTCAGTGGTTGAGTGTTGACCCATGAATCAAGAGGTCCCTGGTTCAATCCCTGCTCAGGGCACATGGCTGGGTTGCAGGCTCAAGCCCTGTTAGGGGGCATGCCGGAGGCTGCCAATCCATGTCTCTCTCTTATCAATGTTTCTATCCCTCTCCCTTCCTCTCTCTCTAAAATCAATAAAAACATACTTTTAAAAAACCAGTTAAAAATGTAAAAACCCTTCTTAGCTGGAGAGACATAGGGGCCAAGTTTGACTGTGTTATTTGAATTTTATTGATTGATTGTTTTGGGCGAGAGAGAGAGAGAGAAACATCAATTTGTTGTTCCACTTATTTATGCACTCATTGGTTGCTTCTTATATGTACCCTGACCAGGGATCAGACGTTGGTGTACTGTGATGATGCTCAGACCAACTGAACTACCCACCAGGGCTATTTGATCCCCTTTAGCATTTACACTTTGCCTCACAATTCCTTCTGCATCTTCCTACTGTTAGTGACTGGTCAATGGCTATATTTGAAGTAGAAGTTTTTAAAGATAAGAAACTACTATTGCCTTGGCTCGGGGTCTGCAGAGAGTGTAGACAGAGCATGGATGTGGGTCTGAACTGTCCCACCGCCTACAGTCAACATACAGATGCACAGGGCTCTCTACTTTGTGGAATTGCCAGGGGTGGGAAAAGGACAGGTGGATGGGGTGGGCAGGGCAAAAGCCTTCATCTGTAAAATCGCCCCTCGGGCCCTTCAAAAGTGAGGCATGGGCTGGTTAAGGTGGTTGCCAGCTGCTGGCTTCCACTCATTCTGGGAGGTAGGAGGTAAGTCCTCTGTTCAGCCTGAGGGACATGAGGAGTTAGAAGACTGGAAGAGTGAACTGAAAAGTGGAGCCTGAGGCATACGGAGGGCACATGGAAGGAGAGGGCCACCCGTGTTAAATGTTACTGTCTCGGGTGGATCCCCCTAACCTAAGATCTGAGTGCAAGCAGGTCATCTGAGGATGGCCCAGGAAGCACAGGGAGGGGATGGGGAAGTGAGACGGGAGGAAAGCAGCCACTGGAGGGCCGGGGACCCAGCAGGTTACCCCTTGGGCGCCTGGGGCTCAGTCCTGCTGGGGATGCCTGGAAGTCAGTGCAGAACCCACCGCAGGGTTGTCCTCTACAGAGGGGGAGGGGCATACGGAACACCTGCCTCCCAGCTTTCCCTCTCTTGGGCGTATTTACACACCAACACCCGTCACTCATCGGTTGAGAGACTGCTCCCTGGGGAGCGTTAACTCTAGTATTTCTGGCACATTATGCGCTTGGGTTGGCTCAGGCCACTAGAGAGAGTGTCTGCAGGCAGGTGGAAAGTGCATGGTTGGCCATCACGGTGGTAAGGTCTGAGGGACCGTGGACAGGAACCTCCATGACTGTTCCATGTAGATACAATAACTATTACCCTCCTTTGCAGAGGAGGAAATAGAAGAACAGAAAGGGCAAATGGCGTCCCGCAGTTACACAGAGGGAACACAGCAGGACTGGTATAGCAGGAAGAAAAGAGTAGAGCATTGGCCTCATGCAAAGGTTTGGGAAGATGGGAAGACACACCCTCACCCATTAGCACACAGTTCAAAGAGGGGCTTTTTTTAGAAACTATTTATTTATT